TTTTTTTTTTTTTTTTTTTTTTTTTTTTTTTTTTTTTTTTTTTTTTTGCCTCATCTTTGAGTCTAAAGAAAATGCTACTACCTCTGGAGATCAATTCTGCCATTATTGGTATTTTTTTTTTTTTGCTCCAGACTGTTCTATTCTCCCTTTAGCAATTCAACCCTTTTTAATTTTCTATTGGTTCCTGCCAATGGTATCAAAATACCACGCTGTCAGCTCCCTTCCTCGCATCCTCCTTTTTTACTAAAAACGTAAAAGTGGATTCTTACTATGGGAATCACGAGTACCTCAGCTTAGTTAGTGCGTTAGTGTCCATCTCTGCCAGGCTTTGACCTTCTGATACTCATCAGTCGCTCAAATTCTATCTTTTATTACTATTCTTGTCTACTAAGTTGCATATATTGTGGCACTGAGGCACGTTTTCGCCCTCCTTCACAACAAAAGACAAAGACAACTAGATAGTAATGAATATTGAAAATAATTATGGATACCTTTTAAAATTACATAATTGTACGAATACATGTGATTTTGAATATTCTTTCAATGTTTTTGATATAGAACGTTGAATCATTAAAAATTTACTGATTTTTTTTTTTCTTTATAAGTATTTGTCATAAGGTGTTGCATTATTGAGATGCATTTAATGAAGAACTATTGTTATTATTTAGTCTTCTTGTTTGTAATCCTGATTTTATACTTATAATCCTTATATTGAACATCTGAATGACTGCAAGTGTGTTCTAGATATGCACACATCATGCTCCATTTTGCAGCCATGTTTTTTTTAATACTGCACATTTGTGTTCCATTTTGTGTCTCCTTCTTCGATGTACCTGTACTATATTGGCATGGATGGTTAAATTAAATGGCTTCTTCCTCCCTCATTAATTATAATATGACATGGTGAATGAACCTTTAAATCTTTTCATATTAACCCGTTCTTTCTCATATTATTCCTTCTTCCCCCTCCCCTGCTAGTTGCTATTTTCCATTGATTCTCTACTTTCGAACGAACAGTGATTCTGTTCTAATGATTCTTTGTTCTTTTGTTGCTAATAATGTTTGAACTTTGGTGTTCGTTTTCTTTGACACACCAGCATTAATACGGTGTATTATATGGCACCCTTTGCAACCATGATCTTGGCAGTACCTGCAATGCTCCTTGAAGGAAATGGGGTTCTTGATTGGCTTCACACACACCAGTTTGTATGCTCGTCCCTCATCATCATTTTCAGCTCTGGGGTGATGGCCTTCTGTCTTAACTTCTCCATATTTTATGTGATTCATTCCACAACTGCTGTGACGTTTAATGTTGCTGGAAACCTTAAGGTAAGATTATTGTGTTCCAGTTATCTGCATACATCATCCTTGCCAACGATACTGACCAGGCAACTTGATTTTTACCTTTTGGAATCAATGCTCTCTTATGACCTCATCTGGATTATAGTCTAAAAGATCATTATAATTCCTTTGTTTTTTCTTAAATTCCCTATATAGATTTCCTTTCTTGGTATAATACTTTGGTGAGTCACATTTGAGCTTTCATTATGCCAGGTAGCTGTAGCTGTCCTTGTTTCATGGTCGATATTTCGAAACCCAATTTCAATGCTAAATGCAGTTGGATGTGCAATTACGCTCCTGGGTTGTACATTCTATGGCTATGTAAGACACCTTCTCTCACAGCAGCCACCTGGAACCCCTCGAACGCCTCGGACCCCTCGGAGTCGGATGGAGCTGCTCCCCCTTGTAAATGACAAATTAGATGATAAGGTCTAATTAGAGAAGAGGAATCCAACACCAGAATACTCGTGGCATGTTCGTCCTGTCCACTTGCTTTAGGCGACTTCAACTTTTTTTCTTTTTTTCATTCATAATGCTATATCTATATCTCCCCTCCATCTATTTGTTGTTTGTAGCTTTAGCATATTTACGCGCGACTGGTATTACCTTTTCTATGAGTAGTTATCTTATGTCTCTGATTAAAGAGGCAGTTATTGCCAGAGTTCCAAATATTTTTCTCCTTTAGTCTCTCTTTCTATTCAAATTCTAGAACCTAGAACAGAATGGATTTTCAGGTCTGTGACGCCTCTGAAACTTCATCTCAACTTCCCTTGCTCTATTGCTTATCCTGGTTTTCAAATTCATCTGAATTGCTCAATCTTTATATCCTATTGGACTGAGATTTGAACTTTTTTGAGTATTAAAATGCTCATGGAAGAAGGCATTCATTCGACTTTGATGAAATGTTCAACAATGTGAAAGGCATCTAAGCTTATGTAGCTTTTAGTTACAGAGTTGAGATTAAGATTAGAGATAACACGATGGATGATGACAGGTTAAACATGAGATTTTAGTTCAGTGATTTTTTTTTTTTTTTTTTTTTGC